AAAAAGATTACATTTTGGTATATTTTTTGATGCATCAAGGATCAGAATTGTTCGTTCAACTGCTGTTTATGGATCCCCTGAGCTCCTGGTTGGCAATTTCGAAGCTCATTTCTCATTCACATTAATTGCATACAGCTTGACGAGGATCTCACAAGAGGGGATGAATGCTTTTTTCATACTGTTCTTTCGACTTGCAGCAATGTAAATGGGTCGCAGCCTCCCACCAGCTGTTGCGTATGAACACCAACTTCCGCATGTGTGGGCCTAGGCCTATTCATATGCTTGTGTGCGCGTATGTGTGTTGGTGGGCAAGATTGGTAACACCAGCTCTTCTCTAGTTCCCACTTTTCCCTTTACCACTGTTAAGTTTTATACATTCTAATTTTGTCCAGCCTCCAACCCAGACTGGTTGAAAACGGGAAAAACTGGGATACAGGCTTTGCTATATGCTCTTGTGCTTCTGTACACAGGTATGCGACAGCAAAACACACTCCGGAAGACAGGTATTTGTTCAACTTTAACACATCCCAAAGCTCGATGCTGGTAAATATAAGCATGTTAACCGTTTATAAGGGCTAGAGACAAAATCATTAGAACATTGTCTACTTGTTCAACTAATTAGATGTCTTAGATTATATGATCTGATGGATTATTTTTAGTAAGACGATTAGAGCAAGAGTGTAGCACAACTTGAACTATAAAAATGAACTTAGGAGAATTCATACAAAAGCTGAAACTGTACATAATTTCAAGAATTACTCTGTACATGGAAAAATTATCTGTAAAATCTCATCCGAGAACGAATAAACGAGTGAACGGGATATAAACCTGGAAAAATTAATGAAAATTCTTAGTTTAGAAGTGATGAATAGGAAATAATGAATAAATTAACATATAAATATTATCTAATCCTATCACTTTTTGTGCATAGATTTTGCGATTTCCCCCTCCGGTTAACCGTGATATAAATCACTGTTAACTTTAATACATCCTTTCAGAAACACTTTGATCTTTAGCTTTATGCTCAGATTTGTGTTGATATTCTTGTCCAAAATGAACCGAAGCTTAGTCGCACTTTTAACTCCATCCTTATTTCCGACGGAAATTCACACTGAAACGCCCACATTGGTAGGTAACGGTTTTATCCATAGCTTTGATGTATTCATCAGTCAGACTAAAAGAAGATAGTCGAAGTGATGGCATTCACGGTGTAGGGAAAAAGAATCATTTGTATCACCAATGAGATTATAACCAGTAGGGCTTATTTCTACTGACCTATGTGATGGAAACACATTCACAAGACGAAATTCGGTCTAAGGCTATCCTTATGCACTATTTTGGTATGGCTCTAGCGGACTTTCTAGCGATTCTCTCCACGATGTAGGCAATAGAATATGTGAAGATGGTGTAGCCATCAGTATGGTCGCAGTCTTCTTTCGATATCTAGAAGCGGATTGACCTCGTTTTCACAACTTGGTATTGTTGTCATGGCGACTTGGTTGGACGGACCTTTTCCGAACTCCTCCGCCATAGTAGTTATCATAATTCTAAGCATTAGACCGTTGACTTGGTACATCCTCAGGCGTTTCTCTGGCATCATAGTCGGCATCATCAGTGAATCTTGCCATTCTCAGCACCAAGCTACAGCTCTTTTCTTTTTGATGGTGCCGGCGAAACGTCTGAGAATGTACCAAGTTCACGGTTTTGACGCTAGAAATTATGATGACTACTATAGCATAAGACTTCCAACGAAAGCTCAGCACGTTTTCACCCGAAACGGGGGAGGAATACTCGTGGACTGCGTCAACACGAATATAATATAAAAACTAAACGGCTGCAGTACAACGATTTTCATCCGTCCTCATCTGGTGAGATGGAAAAACGAATCTCTTCTTCATGTACTTTCATTCGAAATGTTATCTCAGGACATTCATCGAAACCAAGTTTCTCTTCGTATCAACAAAGCCAAGTAGCAAAAATCCGGTCAACACACTCCAATAGCATAAATGGGTTTGCGCTTACATACACTCATGATAATTAATCAACTATTTATATTCGGACCGGTTTTCTGTTTCGATCTAGCTTCAGGTACTGTTGGATTTGGACCGTGGTTGTTCAGGTTAAAAATCAGACAGGTCTGGCGAAGGCCACACGGATCGAGCTTCATTGATGGCTACAATGAGCTTGATTTTTCATGCAGAGCTGGACCCTATCAAAGGTTTCAGGTTCGTTTGCCTCTGAGCGAAAAGGGTTTCTTCCTGAACTTTTGTGGAGCTCTCTATGGTTTTAGATGATATGAGGAAAGTAAAAAACTGAACTACTTCTGGTAGGCATGGCGCAGGGATTCCAAACGCAAGTTTAAGTATTTCATTCAAATTATATTTGTTGATATCGCGAGCAATTTGTGTAAGACCCTTTCGAAATTCCTGCATATTGATGCAAGCCACAAGGCATTCTGCCTCGTTTCGGGTGAAAACTGGATTAATTTTTGTCCATTGTGTGATGGGCATCATCAGAGCTGGAAATCATTTTTACAAAAGTCTCTAGTTACCACCAAGTCATCCCGGTTTTCCATGGAACAAGGAAAGATGTGCTAACCTAAAAGTAGTCGTTAAGTCATAGTAAACGACTGCCGAACATCGGGAAATGGTTATCGTCTTCCGGAGCGATCAAATAATTAATCTCTTCATCATGAAAGTTTATATGAAAATGGCATCTTCACAACCCAGCTGGTATTTGGATCGTGGACGTAAAGAGATGAAGTTTAAAGGTTTGCCATACAGATATTATTTTATAGACAAGTCAGGTCTTGCGAAATTCAGCTTTGTATACTACGACTTTTGATGAGACCGGTAGAATGAACGTAATTACTTTGTTGTGGATAAGCATTGTAAGGAGCTATCGAGAGGTTTTACATAAGAATATGAGTCAGACAGGTTGGGCGAAGGCCACACGGATCGAGCTTAATTGATGGCTACAATGAACTTGATTTTTCATGCGAAGCTGGATCCTATCAAAGGTTCCAGGTTTGTCTGCCTCTGAGCGAAGAGGATTTCTTCCTGAACTTTTGTGCTGATATGGGGCAAGTTAAAAAGTGAACTACTTCTGATGGGCATTACGCAGGGATTCCCAACGCAAGTTTAAGTATTCCATTCAAATTATATTTTGTGATTTCGCGACCAATTTATGTAAGACCCTTTCCGAATTCTTGCATATTGACAGCAATCAGATTTTTGATTGTCGCCACCTACCGAGCACATACATGCGTTTTTCATTCGACACTTTACTATTATTATTACTATTACTATTATTGCTTTAGAAGCCGTATGCTATTTATAAAACTCATTTCAATTTCGAGTCAAAGTTTGATAAACGATTCGGAGGTAAATCTCATCCGAAATCGACGATATAGATTTGCTTTAATGGGACATTCTAGTTGAAGTTGTCTTCACATCAATTTATTTCGATTCCAATGAAAAATTGCAGAGCTCTCGCTCGCCACAGCAAAAGAATCATTAGAATAGGCTAACATTCTCACAATTAAGTTAAATTTACGAGTCAAAACATTTCACCAGTTTATCTATACTCAATGCATAAAGCATTTTTGCTGGAGTATAGAGAGATTTTGTTGGTTCATCTCATGTGTCACTCCAGAAGAATGTACGTTTGCACGCTTGTGTGTGCATAGGTGTTGTTATGTGGGCGCAAGTGTACGAAACCAAAAGTGCTTGCCCCACTAATTGGTTTCGTGCATTTGCATAAACATGATCGCATATATGCACTTACTTCTGGACTTGCGGTTAACATGAACTATCCTAATCACGATAGATCCCACGAAAATTCATATGTTTACGGAACATAATCAGCATGACGAGATAAGTCGCGAAGCTTGAATAATTTGTAACGATAGTGAACTGGTCTGATGATGTCGGTCAAGTGGGAGGACGGACCAAAGACTTGCATACCTTTTACTGGAACCTGCGTACTTTTTGTATGAAATTACCTCGATGAACTCGCCAACCGGAACGTTGCAATGAAGCCAAAAAACAGCTGACCAAGAGTGATCTATCGTCGTCTTCTGGTGGGATTGATGCGTGTGAATCTCTTCTGGACTGCCTTTCACTCGAAAATGACGTGAGATCAAACATTGTGAATGAAGGGAACCAAATTGTAAATCAACTTTTATTTATTATCTCATTCGGCCTCTATAATAGAAGTAACCATCTACCTTCTAAGGCTAGGGCATCTTAAACCTATTCAGTTGAGGCAAATTGCGTCTAACCCTCCAATGGATTCGATGGTAGAGGATGTTTAGGGCAATTTATGAAGAAAAATTGGGTTTCAAGGAGTTCCTTAGTGATATACTGTGACATGACATTCCATTTTGAAGGAATAGTTGATTGGAAGGGATTCGTAATATGGTCCCAGCGCAAACCGAAAGAGGATTGCCGCGGAGTTAAGACTCCGATTAACCTGTGACTAGCTTTTGTCTGTACCGTTGCGATAGACATAATCGGAGTAAGCATACATACTTCATGAAATGGCCTAAAAAATAGTCTAAACCAAGAGAAATCTTTCCGGCTGCAACCCTATTCACTTTATCATACACATTTTTCCTTGGGTTAGTAGAATTTTTGCGTTTTTTTGTGTCTGAGTGGTTGACGTGTCGAGTTCACATGTTGCACTGTCACGGTTCGACTCCCGCTGGGGGTCGAAACTGCAGTCCACTCCAGCTCTATTCATATGATTGTGGGAGAATTCGACTATCGGTCCTTCATCACCTTAAACGAAATAGGGTGAATACATCTGTCTGCTATTATATTCGAAAAATGATCTACAACTTAATCGCAGAAGTTCTGAATTCTCATTGTAAAATGCGGTATTTGCATAATTATTTGTATACCAATTGATCGTCTTTTCCCGTGACTGCTGACCAGAATACCGACTTCTGACCCTTCTTGTAACCTTCATTCGTTGTTCTGTCGACCTGTCGGGCAAGCATGTGCACTTTGGTCTCTTACAGGTTGCATGTGCAGACGCACCATGTGCTGTTTACAACCCCAAAGTGTGAAGGCCTATATGGGAATCCGTTCGCGTTTGCCTCCTCCATCTGTCCACGCAGGTCTGCAGTTGTGGTGGAATCCCACGTGTCTCATCCTCGCCCGAATATGGCCTGTCAGCGTCATATTTCTCTCAGACCATTTGGCCTCTCTTTTCTGTCACCTGTGCTGTTGCCCCAGTTTGCCATTTTCCCGTTGCCAACCACAACGCCCCGGCCCTGTTGCCCTCACATCCAGCCTGAGGGTATAGATGCAATTGTGTGGTGGAAAGACGAGGAGATCACATCTTTTAGGAGGCAAAAGACCGAGTGTGATCTGTCAATGCAGCCGGCCACTTTCATCCATTACAGCCTCATTTTCACCGGTCCGCATCACTCTCCTGCCCCGACCATCCCACCTTATACCTCCCATCGGTCGGGCGGAGTTATCCGGCAAAGTTTATTGGCTACACTTGGCTTTTCCTACCGCAAAAAATGCACCAACTTGTGCTACGCCATTTGTTGTATATTTCACGTGATCGGAAAAACAATGAAAATATGATTGGAGTTCATATTCAAGATCTACTGAGAGTTTCGGCGTCTACTCTCCTGGCATCTTGGATTGTCCTCGGTGCTGATGGCAATTGTACATTTTCACACTCGATAAGAGCCCAACTACCAGTCCTATTGACAAATCTATACGAACTAGGGTGGATACATCTCATTTATATAATCTACATGTTTATAAAAATAAAAAATATGTACTATAATCGATTGATATAGAAGATGCAACTTACTACAAAATGTGATGCTGTGAAGTTCCCATCTGCTCTTTATGCCAAAGGGCACTCGTGGCAGTGTGGTGTAATGGTTGGTGTGTCGGGGCTATCGGCTGCACTATAACAACCCGGGTTCGATTCCCGCTGTGGGTGGTAATGAAACAAGTTGAGGTGATTTCGAAGCTACAGTCCAGTCTTGCCTGAATGTGGACACCTTTTGGGAAGCCAGACTACGTAGGGTTTACTTAACCGATAACGAAAGAATTCAACTACTCGTCCTGTATCACCTGAAGTTAAATAAGGTGAATACATATAAAAAAATGAATTAAGGAGACCTAGTCTTTCATCATCCTGACCGAAATGAAGTGAATATCCAAACGGTATATGGCCCACTGGTAATCTCGAAACCAGCTTGGCATTTTATTTTGAAGCAATTTGTTATTTTTGGTAAGTTTTGATGATGAAGTCATTCTTGCATCCCATTTCAATTAGCCTGCCCTTACTTGAAACCCATGCTCGTGGTATAATTGAGCTGAGCCTAGAGAATAACGTGTTTTACTCTGAACTGGTACGACCACGGTTCGAATCTCGTTGGGTTTAGTGATACGAAAATGAGACAAGATCAACATTGGAGTCCAGCCTGGATGAGAATCGCATGTAAAGTGCCGGACGTAGTTAATATTTTATTGAAATCTGGACGCATAGCAAAACCATACAAAAATGATGCATCCTGAAAATAAAAATATGCGGCTAAAACGGGTCTAGTTGGTAGGCGTTGTTAATTACAGGGGGTCTTCTTCATTATAATATCTTTCGGTGGAATCTTGAATTGGCTCAATATGAAGTAGTCACAACAGGATACAGTTAGTATTGCTGAAAAGAGTATTTGATATGCGATTGTGTTAACAAGCTCACCGACATGTCTGGCTTCTGGAAATGGATTTGAGAGAACCGATTGCCTGAAAGACTGTGAAAAATGTGAATCAAATGAGGTCTGTTTCACCCTAAACATCATAAATGCTTCGCGACTCCATGGAGCTTGTGTAGCTCGACTGTTTGAAGGACACAACTCGGTTTTTAATCATTCTGGAGGCGCTGGTGTAATCCAGATGAGGTAAAAACTGTAGCCTAACCTGACTGAGAACAAACGATACAAACTTCTGAGTAATGCATTAAATTTACAGAGTTTAGTTTTTCATTCATTCCTTTGACGACTATCGAGTCATTTGGCTCCTGGTCACTAGGGTGAACTAATTTGACAATTGTTGTGCTTACTTCCATTTCGAATGAAGAGATTCAAAGTTTGATTCCACCAGGAGACTCCTCTTGACCAACTGTTGATTGGCTTTACTGGAACATTCATGCTGACGCTGTTTCCGAAGTAGTCTTCTTCGATTCCAGTGAAAAGGTGCTAAGCTTTCGTCCGTCAAATGACGAAAATCATCAGATCAAGGTATTATCTTTATTACAAAATTCAGGCTAACGGGTCAAGAAAACGTTAGAAACTTTTCCAGTTTTCTTGACTCGTTAGCATGAATTTATTCGTGACGATGATACCTTGATCCGATCATTTTCGTCATTTGACGAACAAAAGCTTGGCACCTTTTCACCGGAATCGAAGGATATTGCATCGGAAACAGCGTCAGCATGAATCTTAAAATAAAGCCAATCGACAGCTGGTCAAGTGGAATTCGCCGTCGTCTTCTGGTGAAATCGACCTTCGAATCTCTTCACCAAACACTTTCACTCGAAATGGAAGTAAGCACAACAATTATGAAATAAGAGATTCATCGAAACCAAACTTTTCTTCGCATAATTTGACAATTTTTACTTTGTGCTTGCTAATTTTAATAAAATGGTCGTTTGTTTACTTTTGTCGAATACCCTCTGCGGCTCCGCATTTTGGAGAGTGGTGTCCTTCAAAGGCAGGAATTGTCCGTTATCTTCAATATAAAATTGCAATTTCCAGTGAATGAATGCCTATTCAGAATTCGCTGCCTTGGTTTATCCATCGGACAAACTAATTATCCCAATCCAGTCAGCCGAATCTAAAATCCGTCACTGTGAACCATATAATCTTGTGGACCTCTTTGATTACCGTGCTTGTCGATGAGATCTCACTACACCTGGTTGTCGTTGATGAGCAGCTGAATTTCTCTCCTCAGTTGCCATACGGTTAAGGCCTGGTATAAGACGATCTTTAGTTGCCATCCCTTGCCAGACTATTTTGTTTCAGGGTATTATGTACCAGGTGCTCCAAATTGCTGCCAACTAACCTGGTTTTGCTCGTGGTCTCCACGTCTCATCTCTGTTAAATAAAAAAAATTATTAATAATATTACACGAAATATTCTAGGATAGTATACTATGAAAAATTATAAAGAAATGTTGTTTAAATTTTCATTTGATAAAGCAATTATTTTTGCTTTAATGACAATTTGCTGAAAGCAGGGCCTCCTAAGTATTCCGACAAAATCTATCGCTGGGTGACTTGTTTAATAGGTTTGTATATAGTTTTGTAAATGTGCCAACTTTAAGTAAAGCATGTTGTTGAAAGAGTTATACCTCGTTTATAGTATTTACAGACTTGGGCTGGTAGCAAGGTTCTGTTGATGATAACTACAAACTGAGCGCTCGGTGCGCTGCATTCGGGAACAAAATGTTACCTTTAAAAGCCAATTATTACTGCTTTTAAAGCCATTGTTCTCATGTGTGACGACCCTTCTCATTGCATCGGGGCTCTCTTTCATACTTAAATTGGTTGTTGGCCGGTGTTCTTTTAATTAAGTTATCTTGCAAGAGAGAACTGAAATTCATCGAATCTATTTTTTTGGGTTTAATAATGACTTTGTGTTTACTAGCCTCCTGCATAAAGTCTCTGCCATAACAGAAGGGAGCTCTGTAGATTTTCATGCTCGCGATACCAATATGAAACACATACAAACACACTTACACAAATAGATACAGGCATAAACACAGTAGTCCAAGAAGGAGTGTAAACCATCTGATGAGCACTCTCGAGAAATTACGGCATCAGCAATGATGGCTCAGACGGTTGGTTATGAGATCAAGGAAAGAGGCAAGCTTTATATTCACACCATGGATCGTCGTGAATATAGATCCACTCGTGTGTCTACCAAAAACCTTGGAGCTTAAACCATAATCCGAAAAGTGAAGAAAGTTTAGATGAAAGAATATATTCAGACTAAGATGTAGTGGCCTCTGGTGTGGTCGCAGTCTCCTTTCGATTTGTAGAAGTGGGTTATGGCTGGTCCGAGATGGAGAAGATGCTCTCGCGAGTGGGGTTGTGAGCCTAAACGGGCAGAAGTGGGTTGTTCGTTGTCGCAACTTGGTCTTGTTGTCAAGGCGACTTAGTAGAACGCACCTAGTCCGAAGTCGTCTGCCACAGTAGTTGTCATGAGTCCCAGCATCAGCCAGTGGACTTGGTACATTCTCAAAACGTTATGCCGGCATCATAGTCGGCATCATCAGTCACTTTTGCCATTCTCTGCATCAAGCTACTAACTCGTCAAAGAGACAAGTGAAGTTAATCTCTCGGCCAAGTTTCTGCCGAAAAAGACAACGATGCCGATGAAGCGACGAGTTCATAGCTTGGTACTGAGAATGGGAAAACTCACTGATGATGCCGACTTCGATGCCGGTGA